AAAAATAAGAATGCTTCAGAAAGAACAATGGTGTGAAAAATGCAGTTCCTTCAAAACATCCTGTATTTCAGGCTTCAGCAATTCACATTGGCCTTTGGCCAAATACTGTGTTTTCATAAGACTAAAGAGAAGTTTTTGATGTGTATTCAAAACAAAATGGTAGCATTTTCTAAAATAAAGGATTCTGTGCAAATATGAAATACAAATGAAAGTTATTTAAAAAGCACTAAAAATGTATGCAATTAGCTGAGGAAGCTAGTATGACCTCAGATACAACTCACAAACCTCCCTCCCTTATCTGACCCTTTTCAGCATCACATTAGCTAGGATGATCAACTTTGATTCTCTCAACTCTCTACTTGAAAGGGAGACCCATTCCCTTCCCACCAGTTTCACTGGTCTTTATTCTCCTCATCTATCCACTCTCACAAGGCTGATGTGATGCTCAAATTAGGATGCAAAATTGCTTTGTACACTCTGTAGGCCCGTGCGCTGACTATGATTTATTAGTACTGTCATTACTGGACACTGAGCCTTCTTTCCCCTCTGGGCCCTTTCTCCTTCTAGCTTTCCCACTTTACACTTTGGTGCTAGAACAAAACAAAGAAGCCAAATACTCTAGAACAGTGTTTTTCAACTTTTCTTTTTTTATCTCATGGTACACTTGAACCTATAAACTTCCATGGCACACTTAAAATATGTTATCAAAAAAAGGAATATACTTACTATGCTTTAGGGCCACTTTTGGAAATAATTTAATTAACAATCTTTAAAATTTTTTATGGCACACCCAAGATCCTCTCACAGCACACCAATAACGCCATGGCACACTGGTTGAAAATCACTGCTTTGGAGTTAGATCCACCTAAGGGCAGGAGACAGTGTGGGCAGATGTTGGAAGAGCTAAGCTTTGCTCAAAGACTCCTGGAAAGCCAAAGACTCAGTTGGCCTATAACAAGTGGCGGAGCTAGAAATAATAACTAGGGAGTGTGACACTCCCCTCTGCCATCCCATTTCTTTGAGGAGGCTGGATCCAGATGCCTAGTGGGAGGTCTTCTGAAGAGACATTTATTTTGGGAGAAAAGGCACAATTCTCATGTATAGCCCAGAGTAAGCACTCTGAAGGCCAAGGGATCAGAGGCTGAGATGGCAAACAAAGGCTAAAGAGGAAAACATGCTTTGGCTTCATCCCTGCAACACTAGAATGTCCCCTCTGGTCACAGCCAAGGACACTTAATCTGGGCCTCACCATGGGGTGAAAGAGCACCTCACCCACAGACTTGTTGAGATCCTTTAGCTCTCTAATGGCTTAATCACACACAAGTGAATGAGAAAAACTGAGCCAGAGCCAATTAAATTAGCTTTCTAAACTTCCCTAGGTAGAAAGACACTACCTAACCAAAACCACTGAAAGAAAAAAACCCAAATTCCACACTACAGCTGAGCTAGGCAGGGTTCCTCAAGCCACTAACAAAATTGGGGCACAATGTATAAGCACATGTTGCAGGTTCTGACAGACAGAGGCTGTCTTTGTGGAGGAAAAGATCTGTTCAGGTTGTTCCCACCAAGCTAACACTTCATTCTCTCCCTGATACAGCCAAAGGTTAGAATGAAAAAAAATTGTTTTCTAGAAGCTTGCAGACTTCCTTGCACTAAAACTGGGTAGTCCAGTGAAATGGCTCAGTTAAGGAGAGGATAATGACTGGAGGGATATGAACCCAATAAATAGGGCTAGACTAAGCTAGGCTCTGTATACTGGCTGTGGATATGTTTTGTAGGCATTTTCAGGCAATGGATATCTTGTTCTTTCTTTGTTCCTTTCTCCCAAACATCTCTTCAACTCTTGTTGGGCTTCAGTCCCCTTTCTCCTGATGTACGGATGCCTGGGCCTTTAAAGGGTAGGCTCTGTAGCTCAGCGGGCGGTGTGGAGGTGCTAAGTGATGAAAGCGTTGCTAGGTTACCAGTAGAGGACATTTTCTTAATTCCTTGGTGGGGCTCTGAGAGCTAAAATCCCTGAGATCTGAGATCATATTTTGCCCCTCGTGGTAGCAAAAGCTTATCATATACTAAGAGGGGTCAGAAGAAAAAGGACAGGAATAAGGACAAATCAGAGAGGAAAAGCCCTCTTCTATTCCTTACTTCTCACCCACTTACAGTGGGGAGGGAAGAGGAGGAGGAGGAGAAGGTGTCACAGAGAGGGAGGAAAGGGAGAAGGGGAAAGATTAAGAGAGAAGGCAGAAGGAAGAAAAAAGAAGGCAATTCACAATGCATAGAGTTCCACTACTCTAGGCTGCATTTCTCATTTTCTCCCACTCTTTTCTTTTTTTACATACCCTCACATGCCTGAAGAAATGTCAAACCTTTAGGAGTCCCGCAAGTAAAAAGTCACACTGCCACATTTTGTTTTCTACTCCCTAAACTCCCTTTAGTTGCCTGCTACATGGCTAGCAACATCTTATTTGCCTAAAGAAAAGTTAATTTTAAAAGTGCTAACCCATTATGATCACTAAATTACCCCCAAGCTACCTTTCTAGGCTGAGGAGTTTTAGGTACTGGGAAGAGGACTGCTGTGGGTGATAATCCCATCCATCCTAGCACCAGTTAAATCTTCACAGTCCCTAGCCCAAAAAGATCATTTCAGAGCTATCAAACTCAACGCTGTTTTTCCTCATTCCTACCACCACTACCCCACATCCACACTAAGGAGTTTGCACCCATTTACAAAGGGTGTGCACACACAAACAATTCCAAAGACTTTCTGCCAAAAGCCTATGAGAGGAAAAGGGATTTCATGACACTACTTAGTCATAAACCTGGGTCAAAGACTAGCCTTAGCGACCCTTTCTGCCCTTAGGGAAAAGAAAAAGTCAAAAAATATTCCCTTGTTGCAGGTCCAATTTCCCTCCCACATAGCTAGGAAAAAAATCTCTTAGGTAAAACTTATCCTCTGGACACCAGTAACCACATATCCGCCCCTCTCCTCCTACTGCCCTTTGATTAACATTTCGTTTTCCTTTTCACTTGTCTTTCCAGTTCATCTACCTCTAACTTCAAATGCCTATAGATGCCAAAAATGATGGAATGCAAGTACTCCAATCATTCCAAAATTTCAAGATTACAGGAAATCCCAAACCAAGCAAAGAGGAAAAATTTACCCATGGTCAAACAGCTGCCAAAGAAGAAAACCTTAGTCTTTAGCTGCCCATGGTAAAGCCTTTCTCCACTCTCCAACACTATCTCAAAGCAAAGTGCCCAGAAAACATATAAGCTTACTACTCTGGAGCTAAAAAGAAAAAAAAAAAAAAACCCTCATAGATTCCCTTTGCAAAGAAGTTCCCAGTTTCACACAGGGCCCCCCCCCCACAAACGAATCTAACAGTAACTAATAGGAATCAATGCCAGCAAATTTCCTGGATCATGCTTACACCATGGTACTAACTCCCTTCCCCCAAAAAACCTCAGCTTCTCACCCACGCTGAGTTGATGAAAGCATGCTTTGAGGCTCAAAATGTCACCTGACACCATTAAATAATACTCTGGATCCTGTGGTTAGGATAATTCCAAGGGCCCCCTTTATACCTCCTCTTCCTTTATAATCATTCCCAAAGAGATTGATCAACAGGACATGGAACTTGACAGCATAATGCCAGCAAATTTGAACATCATACATGAGCAACCGCCCACATGGGTGTAGGGGGAACATGTGTGTGCACGTGTATGCACCCTGAATCATTGCTACATGAGACAGAAATGGCATTATTCCAAGTCAAATAAGGAACAGAGTGAGGAAGATCTGTCTACATCAACAGGGCAGGAAAACACACACACACACAAGTATTATGCTCACAGGAATTAGAGACATTTTTTTCCTGGCTCTGCCAAGAGCTTTCTCAGCAGAAACAGAAATATAAAAATAGCAATAATAACAGCAACCACAACCACTCTACCATCTGATATGGAGAAACAGACATATCTCATATATGTTTTCTGAGCTCTCACCCCATTCCATCTAGACTTTTTTCTTTTCGTACTCAATACTCTTAATTTAACACATTACATACTTTCAGTTTGTTATGCGAATGTTTCAGAGAGACCTCTAATATTAATTAACAAACAAGGAAGCAAAAAGTAGCACCATCATTTTATCATTAGCACTATCAAGTTCCATTTAAAAGTTATTTCAAGAACAATGCAAATGAGATTACCCCAAAGAAGCCATATTCAAATACTGTTATTGCCAGGGTGAGTAAAGAGGTGGCTTTTGGTTTTGGGATACATAAGAGAAAATCTCCAAACTCAAATCCAGGGATACAATCTTGGGGAAAAGAAGCCCAGACAGCTCTTGTCAAAGTCGGCCCTTGACAAATGGAAACATTAGAAAATACTTTTTATGGTTCCATGATTTCAAAGAAATTGGCATTTAATGACTTAAGAAATGTTTTAAAGGCAGCTTCTTTCCATTTTGGAAACTGAACCCTGGATAGCAAATTGAGATCCAAAGGACACTGACATCAACTGCCTGCTCAACACACCCCACCTAGTCAGTTCCCAAATTATTGCTTTTCATTACACAATAAAGAATCATTTTCCCTAAATCCATTACGTGCAACAGTATTTCGCCTCTAAATGTAACATAAGACTTTCCTACGATGCTCAAAATTTATCATGCTCTTCAACAATTCCCTTTCCCCCCTGAGAAATTGAAATGCACTCCTCATGGCAAGAGAGAAATTTTGATTATAATTCCCTGATGCACTTTAAAGGTAGCTCTCAAGAAAATTAGCTGGCAAAGCACCGCAAACACGAAAGCCACTGTTTAAGGACGCAGGGCTTGTTCCATGAACGTCACATAGATGGAGAATGCACACAAGCATGCACACTTAAATAGAAAGCATTTCATTAGCAGCAATTTCACTCAAACAATAAGCAACTGCACGGACAAGGCATAATTAAAAGACTGAACAAAAGATTTAGGGAGAGATAATATACCAACGTCATACATATCACAGCGAGGCCATGTTGAAGCTCAAAACGTTTTCCCCCCGGTAAGAAAGCTTGCTCTTTATCTCCCTCTTTCCCTGTCTTTTTCTCTCTCTCTCTCTCTCTCTCTCTCTCTCGGTGGCTCTCAAGATGAAATCAAAGCGAGAGTTCGCGACAGCTCAGGTGGCTGGACTCCATTCAGCGCGTTCCCAGGAAAAACATGAGTATGACATTGACAAGCAGGAGGACTACAATCACGGCAAAAACGACTACAGTTTGCACATCCAGGGTCATGGTGCAATGCAGAACACTGTAGTGTTCCAGGTGGGGGGCCGGCAGATTGGGAGATGTCAGTCTCTGTTCTGTCAGACTGTCCATACAGCCACCATGCTAGAAAGAAGAAGAGGAAGTCGGGTGGTTAGGGAAGGGCTGGGTTTGGCGCCCGAGTTTTGGTCGGGTGGGGGAGGGGATGGGGGTGGGGTCAGAGGAGCTTAGTTTCCCCCCTATCAGGATTGGGAATATCTTTCTTTTCTAGCTGAGAAATCTTAGCTTGCGCTGAAATCGACAGAGTCAAGCATTCTCTCTCGGGCGCCACGGAAAAGGCAAAATCCTGACTTTCAACGGGAAAGGCGGGAGGAACCTGAGCGTTTCTCGGGCGCCTGCTCAGTCTGTCTGTCCCAGCGTGCGTCCGTCTGCCTTCCTCTCTACTCTTCAGTCTCGGTCTTCCCTACTCCCTATAGTTCGCTCGCTTTCCTAGGCTTGCTCTTTTGCTTGATCTCTTCTCCGGTCTCTGGGCTGCCTGCCACTCGTTCAGGGTCTGCCTAGCTGTCCCTCTCCCTCTCTTTTCCCCACCCCTCCCAGCCTGTGGGGTGCTTTATTATTCACCCAGAGACTGTTGGCGCCTGCGTGAGGCGAGACCAGGGCAGCTGACAGGCCTGTGACCCAATAGCAGATGCCATAGCGGCACGTTCGCCCCCGCCCCAGGGGTGGAACTTGAGCTGGTGTGCTAGCCATGACAGCCAATCCGAGGTCCCAGAGCTCCCAGAGCAGGCTTGCGCCTTCCTGACAGGCAGAGTCACCCACCACCAGTTCTGACGTCGGGGTGGGGAGTTTGTTGCGGGGGAGGGGTTGAGAGGACCCTCTGTAGCTGGAAAGAGGACGAAAACGAGTGGAAAAGAGGGAGGAAAATGGACCAAAAGGGATGGAGGTGAGAGGGCACAGCAGGGAAAGAGGGAGGTAGGATATATGGAGGAGGAAACCACAGAAAGAAAAAGTGGGAGAAGAGAGAGAGGATATTGTGAACTAAAATAAAAACGCTTCCACCCTCAATGACTCATGACTGGACGCCCCCTTGGCTAAGGGGTTCCCTAAAACTGAGTTGATAGCCATGAGAAAAGGGATCAGACGTGCCTCATCACGTACCCCCTTCTTTGAGATGTCCTCTTTAAAGCCTTAACAGGCCTGAGGCTATGCAAGACTTACCTGCTCCTCCTCAGTATATACAACAAACCAATTGAGTCTGTTCAGTACTTTGTCTCTGATTAACAGACCTTTTATCTAAAGCATTACTTTTCACTGACTCCCAGTCTTTTAAACAAAGCCTTTTTTTTTTTTTTAAGACAGAGTCTCACTATGTCACCCTGGGGTAGAGTGCGTGGCGTCACAGCTCACAGCAACCTCAAATTCTTGGGCTTAAGAGATTCTCTTACCTCAGCCTCCCAAGTAGCTGGGAATACAGGCACCCATACAACACCTGGCTATTTTTTGGTTGTAGTTGTCATTGTTGTTTGGCAGGCCAAGGTTGGATTCGAACCTGCCAGCTTTGGTGTATGTGCCTGGCACCCTAGCCGCTGAGCTACAGGTGCCGGGCTAACAAAGCCTAACTCTTTCAGCCTATTGTAGGCTAAAGAATCTTTAAACTCAGCTATAATCTGTATGACAACCCTCTTCCAGATGCCCCACCTTTTTGGTCCAAACCAATGTATGTTTTCCACATATTGATTTATGACCTCACCTGTAATTTCTGTCTTCCTGTATCAAACCAAACCGTAACCCTACTTCACTTTCTCAAGGCTTCTTGAGTGTGGCTCCAGGTCATGCTCTGCAAATTTGGCTCAAAATAAACCACCTTAAATTGTTTTACAGAGTATGGCTTCTTTTCTGTTGACAATATGAGGAAGAAAGAGAAGTTTATAGGAAAGGCAGGAAAAAGGATAGGAAGGCGGGAGAAGGAATGGAATGAAAGGTTTAGGTACATGGGGAGAAAGCATGTACTTTGGAGCCTGAGCCAAGGGGGAAGCAAAAGTGACTTTTACCACTGCCTATGAATTTACAGGCAACTCACAATTAGCTATATAAAAATTTAACAAACCAGTGCTGTGGACAGAACCACACAGACCCACCACAAAATTTCTAAAATCCAATCCAATTCTACTTGGCTTTCTCTTCTATGGGTTGCCTGCACCCAGTTCGATTTCCATTCCTTTTGGGGGCTACAGAGTCTCACTCGGTCTCCCTGGGGTTGAGTGCTATGGCATCATAGCTCACAGCAACCTCAAACTCTTGGGCTCAAATGATTCTCTTGCCTCAGCTTCCCAAGGAGCAGGGACTCAGGTGCCCACCACAATACCCAGCTATTTTTTAGAAACAGAGTCTCACTCTTGCTCAGGCTGGTCTCGAACTCCTGAGATCAAGCAATCTGCTGCCCTCAGCCTCTCAGAGTGCTGGGATTACAGGCATGAGCCATGGTGCCTGGGCCTAGATTTCCTTTCTAAGTATGGTTTCTTCAGACTATGACAGCTTGTGCTCTTCCAGCATGCTGAATACTACAAAGGGAAGACAGCATAGGGTAAACAAACATCTGCCTAGTAAAAAGCTCTACAGAACTTGCAATATGCTTGTAATCATTGCCCTGATCTGTGCTTATGACCTGGTTTCTGAGCTAGGAGGAAAAAAAGACCTGGATTAGAGACCAGAACGTTTTCAATTTAATCCAAGCTCTACCTCCAACTTACTGATACGATTTTGGGGAAATTCCATTTCCCTCACTAGGCCTCCATCTCCCTTCTGTCACATGAACACAGAACCCTCATGTAAACTTCAGAACTCTTACCCCAGAAAAATACATACAATTTCAGGGCATCCCTGAGCCTACAAGAACCAAGGACTCCCCTATACAAAAGATATCTCAGCTCTTTTTTTACTCTTACATTCTAGAACTACATGAATAAACAGATATTAGTATAGAGGGGCAAGAAACTAGACTGGCTAAGAAATAAAATAAATTAAGTTCTGGAATTGGTAGCATACTCTAAGAACAGAGTAGCTCTTTTAGGCTAGGACAGTCATACATCTTAACTAGAGTACTAAATTATGATGTAAAATGCATTTCGTACAGCAAGCAATGGTCATAATAGTTTAAAAGCCATTCTTCTAGATTATGTTGAAAAAGATTCTGGTAATCCAGAGCTTTCTCCTTCAGGCCTTCCACCAATTTTGTAAGCATTTGATTTTCTGTATTACCACCCCTTTTGCTGAAAAGAACTAGATTCTTTCTCCTTGCCTTTGAAAGTTCCATCTCATCCTGTCTACTCCCTCACTTACTTTTGACCCCTCGACCCATTGCAGCCTGGCTTTACCCACGTTATCTCATAGAAAACTGGAATCACTTATGAATATAAACAAACAACCAACTTGTTGGTAATCTCATGGCCAAGTTTCTGTCTTTATTTTCCTAATTTCTCTCTCATTTGACTCCACTGATGCCGTCCTCATTCCTGCAATGCTCCTTTGCCTTGGGGACACCATTCACATGACCTGTATGATTATACTGTCTCACGTCCTATCTGGGTTATTCTTCATCCAGTCGTTAATGCTGTGATTTCTCAAGTTTCTTCTTATCTCAGCCCCCTTTTCTTCTTCTGCACATGCCTGAATTGCCTCATTTACTCCTAAGGCTTGAACTACCACCTACATTGCACATTAAAGCACCCCCTTTCAACAAAGTTACTAGACACCAGTGGTGCACAAAACAAAGAACCTTGTCTGCATGCAAGCAGAGAACTGCTGAAGATTCCCACATCGCTCTCTTGGACCCCAAAGATGAATCTCTAACTGATTTCGGGACACTTTTTCCTTAACAGCTCACAAGCATATCAAACTTAGTAAGTCTAGAAAGTCAGTCCTGTCTCTCTCTCACCTCACTGACAAGACAACCAGTCTTCTACTCCTATTGATTCTCTTTGCCTTAATCTCTCTCTCTCATATCTATCTATCTATCTCTATCTCTCTCCTCTCTTCCCTCTCACCTTCCTCCTGCCAGTACCTTTATTTGGTTACTGATTATTTCTAATCTGTTACCATTCATTACCTGGTCTCCTGTACTGCTCTTTCCAATTCAGCCTCTACTTTTCTGTCCAAATTATCTCTCAAAAGCAGTTTTGCTTTTATGAATCCTTGGTTTCTAAGTATCCATGCCATCCGCCTTTTAGCCTGCCTTCCTATATTACCTAAACCAAAAACCTACAATAACAACAAACTGTCATTTCCCAGACTTCTTTGCAACCTTATGCCTTATCTTCATGCTGTGGCAGAGTTAGTAGCTACCCTAGTATTGTTCTGGGATTCATTCCTGGGGGCCTAGCCTGAAGCTTTCCCCTCCACCCCTTTCAGTCCATTTGGTAAGCACTTGATTTTCTGTATTATGACCCCTTCTGCTGAAAAGAACTAGAACAGTTTATTTTTTATAGCTGAAACCTGAGTTACATAACTCCCCTGGCTCCTCATTGCCTTAAAGGCAAATTCTGTAGTAATGCATACACTGCTAATCTAGTGTCCTTTGGCCCTGTAACCAAGGCCCTCTCATTCTGTAGTCTCTGGCTACATAGAACCTATGGTAATTTTCATAACCTACCAGGTTATTTTGCCTCAGGACCTATGTAAACTACTGTTTTCTTTCTCCAGCTCCTCACCTCAGATGCCACCTCCTCTAGAATGCCTTCTCTGATGTGTCCTTCCCAAAACATTGCAGATAATAGTACTCTCCCATAGGATCCTGTATTTAGCTCTCTTGTAACACTTATTAAACTATATTGTAATTTTGTTAGTATTTTTATTCTTCACTGGACTGTGTGTCTGGTTGGGTAGAGACCATTCCTGTCTTATTCACTGCTTTCTCTTCTCCTATTCCCAACACACTGCCTGACACATACCTGGTGCTTCATAAACACCTGTTGAATGCATGAATGTCTTCTTTATCCAATTGTGTCCACTCAAAGAATCATACTTGCAACCACAAAAGATAAAACCTGATGGTAATGCAGTGAAAATCTAAACCCTAGTATTCCAGATTCTCAGAGAAGGGAGACAACCTGTCTAAGATTACATATCTAATTGCTGGCAAAGTGGGAACTAAACCCTTGTATCATAAGGCTCAGAAGTATTTCTGAGAGATTTCAGACCCTAAAACCTGCCATTTGATAACAGCCCTGTACATGTTTTGTTAACTTTCCCAGTTAAGCAACGATTCAACTCTGCTCACAATTTAAAAAATTAGAAACATTTTGAGCAGAAGTACCCACTTCCTAGATCTAGCCCTTCTGCTGACAAATATCATGGATTCAGAAAATCTCTAGATCTAGCATAATTCCAATTCCATCTTTCAATCCCTTCCACAATATCCCTATCAATTATTTATCCAGTCTCAGTCCAATACCCATAACCATGGGGTTATTCCTCCCTCTCAAGACAGCTTCTTTGTCTTTGGAACAATTTTAGTTGATAGAAAATTGTTCCATATTTTTGAACCAGATGTTCTCACTACTTCTGCCATAACTGAGAGCTGAGG